GAGGGAGGGGGAGGAGGGGGAAAGGGAGGGAAGGGAGGGAGGGAAGGGAGGGAGGAAGGGAGGGAAAGAGGGAGAGAGGGAAGGAGGGAGGGAGGGAGGGAGGGGAGGAGGGAGGGAAGGAACGAGGGTTCAAGGAGGGGAGGGAGGGAGGAAAGGACAGAGGCAGGGAGGGAGGGAAGGAGGGAGGGAGGGGGAGGGAGGGAGGGAGGGAGGGAGGAGGAAGGGAGGGAGGGTTCAGGGAGGGGAGGGAGGGTTCTGGGAGGGAGGGAGAGAGGGAAGGATGGATGGAGGGAGGGAGGTGAGAGGTGATGTTTAAGAAGGAAAGGGAGGGGGAGGGGTTGACGTGTTGTTGGGGGAAAGGAAGAAGGGGAAAAAGAAGGAAGAGGAAGAAGAGGAGGAAGAGGAGGAGGAGGAAGAAGAGGAGGAGGAAGAGGAGAGGAAGGAGGAATAAGGAGGAGGAGGCAGAGGAGGAGGAGGAAGAGGAGAAGTAAACGAAGGAGGAAGAGGAGGAGCAAAGGAAAGAAAAGAAATAAAAATAAAAACCGGGGAAGGGAAACAGAGTCAAAAGATAAGAGTTTGGTCAGGTGGTGGAAGAGGTGGAGGGGGGGGGGGGAAGGAGGATCGAGGTGGGGGGTGTGGAGGGTAGAGGATGGTGGGGGGGGGGGGACGAGGATCGGGAGAGTGACATCGCAGACAAGTAGATGATGGCCAATCAGCGGGGGGGGGGGATTTCCGGGGGGGATTGGTCGGCGCTGAGACTCACCTGGGGAGGGAGGGAGGGGGGAGGGGGGGTACGTAAGGGACGGCGGGAGGGAGGGGGGGATACATAGGGGGAGGGAGGGAGGGAGGGGGGATACGTAGGGGGAGGGAGGGATGGAGGGGGATGACGAGGGAGGGAGGGAGGAGGGATGACGAGGGAGGGAGAGAGGGAGGGAGGGAGGGAGGGAGGGAGGGGGATGACGAGGGAGGGAGAGGGAATACGTATTGGGGAGGGAGGTGGAGGGTATGCATAGGGGGAAAGGAAGAAAGTGGGGGGTATGCGCAGGAGGGAGGGAGGTGGGGGGGTATACGTAAGGGGAAAGGGGGAAATGGGGGGAGGGGAAAGGATGGGTGGAGAAGGGGGGGGGAGGGGGAAAGAAGGGGAGAAGAGGAAGAGGGAGTTAGGAGGAGGGGAGGGGGGGATAATGGAGGGAAAGACGGAGGGAGAGAAGGAGGGAAGGAAGGAGGGACAGAAGGAGGGAAAGTTCCCACAGAGCGTGAGAGGGAATAAGAGAAAGGAAGAACTAGAGAATATAAGAGGATTTGGTGAAAAGGAAGGAGGAGGAAGAAGAGAGAAGGAAGGAAGAAGAGGAGAGAAAAAACGAGGAGGAAGAGGAAAGAAGGAAGAGGAGAGATGGAAGGAGGAAAGGGAAGCAGAAAGTGATGAAGGAGGGAAGGGGGGGGGGGGCAGAGCTACTGGGGGGTGGAAGAGGGGGGGGGGGGGTAGTGACGAGGAGCCATACAAGAGATGTAATTGTTGGGAAGTAATTAAGGAATAGGCTGATGGAAGTGGGCGAAGGAGGGGGAGGAGGAGGGAGGAGGGAGGAGGAAGAGGAGGAGGAGGGAGGAAGAGGAAGGAAGAGGAGGCGGAGGCGGAGGAAGGAGGGGGGAGGAGGAGGGAGAAGGGAGGAGGAGGAGGAGGAGGAGGAGGAGGAGGAGGAGGAAGGAAGAGGAGGCAGAGAAAGGAGGAGGAGGAGGAGGAGGAGGAGGAGGAGGAGGAGGAGGAAGGAAGAGGAGGCAGAGGAAGGAGGAGGAAGGAAGAGGACGAGGAGGAGGAGGAAGAGGTTAAAGAGGAAGGAGGAGGAAGAGGAGGAGGGGAAAGAGGAGAAGGAGGAGGAAGGAGGAAGGAGGAAGAGGAGGAGGAGGAGGAAGAGTAAGAGGAAAAGGGGGAGGAAGAAGAAGAAGAAGAAGAAGAAGAAGAAATAAATAATGATAATAATGATGACAATAATAATAAAAAGAAAAGAAGAAGAAGTAGGAGAGAGAGAGAGGAAGGGAGACAGGAATTTCGTCGAATAAATGGGGGGAAAAAATGAGCCGAAACACTGAACAGCTCGATTCACAGAAATAGATCAAGTACCTGAACAAATCTCATTAAGTGATTCGAAAATGCTTCACGCCACATTCACGAATTGCAAATTGGAGGGTGTCAGTGGCTCGTTATAAATAATTCCTGGTTGCAACTACGCACATACATATGTATATTTAGATTAGTTCAGTATATATGTATATACGCACGTACATGTAGACATTGCAACACATACACATGTATATGTTGATGTTCTGACATTTCAATACATATGCATGTCTACGTTCATGTAGATATCTCAACACATACACACATACATGTAGACATTTCAGTACCCACATACATGAAGACATTTCATTACACACACGTAGATGTAGACATTTCACACATGTAGACATAAAAAACACACACAAACATCTAAATAACGCTCAACATTAACCCACACCTAAACAAAAACATAAACAAACACATTGGCTGTTTAAGTACATCAACCACACACAATTCTAGACATGTTATAATACTCGTAATAGAACTGATATATTTATTTGCCGACAGACATTAAAAATATAAATTATATTGTCCATACCAGACCTTGCATTTAGAATCCAACATATATATTCATTTCATGCATTACCTGACCTGATATTTTTTTTCTATTAACACAAAATTAGAAAGAACATGTTATATCATTTATAACGTACCTGACACCTAAGATATTACAAACTACAGGCCATTTAATACCCCAACGTTCTTTGTCTTAGAAAAAAAAACAACATTATATCCTATCTAACGACATTTATTTTAGCTAACAATGCCGTCACTCTTTTTTTCACCAAATTGTACACCTAAAAAACTATAGATTTTATTATCCACAACAGGCCAGAAACTCCTCATTTAACAACATATATTCAAAAAAAAGTTTATTACCCACAACAATCCTGAAATTCCCAGGTTACCCACAACAACCCTTATATCCCTAATACTTACCCATAACTGCCCTAATATACTCCACTTACCCACAACAGTCCCTTACATCCCAAATACTTACCCACAACAGCTCCCTTATATCCTTAATACTAACCCACAACAGCCCCTTATATACCCTAATACTTACCCACAACAGTCCCTTACATCCCAAATACTTCCCCACAACAGCCCCTTATATACCCTAATACTAACCCACAACAACCCCCTTATAATCCCTAATACTTACCCCACAACAACCCCCTTATATCCCCTAATACTAACCGACAACAGCCCCTTATATCCCAAATACTTCCCCACAACAACCCCCTTATATCCCCTAATACTTACCCCACAACAACCCCCTTATACCTCCCCCCCCCCCCCCCACAACCCACCTGATATTCCTTATCTAGCGACGGGAGACTGACGCATTCACGGAGCCAGTGGTCTCCCTTCCCGCGGCACTGCATCCAGATGACGTCAGTCTGAGTGGCACTGCTTGGGATGCCTTCGTCCGCGCCAACTCCTCGCTGTCCGACTGAGAGACACTTGCTGGTGCCTAATACTCGGTACCTGTGGGGGTGGGAAGGAAGGAGGAGGGAGGAGGATGGGGAAAGGGGGGGGAGAGAGGGGGAGAAGGGAGGAGAGTAATTGGGGATAGGGGAGATGGGGAGGAAGGGGAGGAGGAGGAGGAGGAGGGGGATGGGGAGGGAGGAGGAGAGGAAAGGGGGAAGGGGAGGGAAAATGGGGAGAGGGGAAGAGGGGGGAGGAGGAGGGGGATGGGGAGGATGGGGAGATGGGAGGGGAGGAAGGAAGAGGAGGGAAAATGGGGAGAGGGGAAGGGGAGGGGTGAGGATGGGGAGAGGGCGAGGAAGGGGAGAGGAGGAGGAAGAGAGGGGGAGGAGGAGGAGGAGGATGGGGATGAGGATGGGAGAGGGGGATGGGGAAAGGGGTGGAGGTGGAGGGCAGGGAGAGGAGGAAGGAGGAGTGGGGAGAGGGAGGAGGAGGAGGAGGGGAGAGGAGGAGGAGGAGGAGGAGGAGGAGGGGAGGAGGAGGATGACAGGGAGAGGAGGAGGAAGAGAGGAAGAAAAGTAGGGGAGGAGGAAGAGGAGAAGAAGAGGGGAAAGAGGGGGAGAGGGGGAACGGGAGGAGGAAGCAACAGAGGGGAGGAGTGAGAGGGAGAGGGGAGGATTAAGTGGGGGAGAGGGAGGGGAGGGGGAAGAAGGGAAGGGGAAGGGGGAAGCAGAGGAGAGGGGGTAAGAGGAAGGGGGGGAGAAGGAAGGAGAAAGAGGTGAGTGAAAGGGATGAAGGAGAGGAAAAAGAGAGAAGGAGGGAAGAGGGAGATGGAGAGGGAAGAAGAGAAAGAGGGAGAGGTGAAAGAAGGGGAAAGGAGATACGAGAGGATAAAGGAAGGGGGAAGAAGGGGAAGAGAAAAAGAGGAAAATTAATTAACTGAAGGAGCTAATCTGTCAAAGTTTATTCTATTCTTTATTTCCTCTGTTTATCTTTTTTTCTCTGTCTCTTACATTCTTTTGGCATTCATTAAATAATAATAAAATAATAAACAAAAATAAAAGAAAAATAAAGTTACAAGACAGTGAAATAATAAAATAATAACAGAACTTTATAAAAACACTATTTCTTTAAAAATGATATATATCCATACTGTAGACACAAGTTATTTTGATATCTGACTTTGACACTTTTACGAAGAAGGAAAATAAGAACTGTGCAGCAAAACTTTTATAACAACCAAGATATTTATATCAGTGACGATAATAATAATGTCAACAATAATAATCTGATAACAACAACAGCTTTAGCAACAACAACGAAAACAATAATAGCAACAATAACAACAATGTTACTCTCTTTCTCTCTCTCTCTCTTTCTTTCTTTCTCTGTCTGTCTGTCTGTCTGTCTGTCTGTCTGTCTGTCTGTCTGTCTCTCTCTCTCTCTCTCTCTC